CCTGCTGGGCCTCTAACCTGCTCAGAAGTCCACTTTGTGTGAGCCCTCCCACCTGTTTCAAAAAAAGGAAGGCATCTATTACCATAATTTTAACTGGACTTTCTATTACCGTAATTTTTAACCAGCATTGGCTGGTTATCTTGGCATTATGAAAGGATAGTAGTGAGTTGGTAGCAGTGTTATCGAAACAGTAGAGTCACAACATGTGGGTATTTTATTTACTAAACTTCAACTTAATTAAAAATACTGAAAAATATTATATTACTGTACATACTTACATGTATATGTACATATTGCTATATGAGCATGGATACACAAAGCCATGGTTTATTGCCTTCTGTGAGAAGTTTAGGGAATTTTTCAAAGGCAGATCTGACCACTGATGTTTCTTACTTTAGATGCCAACTTCAGAATCTAAGTCCTGTGTACAGTATGACTCCATTGTATGGTCTAAATTGTCTCAACATCCAGTCAAGTTCTCCCTCCAGGAGATCACATCACTTTGGTTTCCAAAATTGAGAGGATCAGATACTGATTCTAGATCTTACTTACTTACTGCTGGATTATTCTGAGAAAAAGATACCATTTTTGTCTGTCTATTCCCTTTAAAATGTAAATAAAAATGATTTCAGTAAATATTCTGATACCACGTTCCTAGACAACAGCTAGGAAAGAGCAGAGTCTTGGCTATGGGATAACTCCAATAAGGTGGCTCACTGAGACATTCATAGGAGGCCAAGCTAAAGAGCGCCCTCTCCAGGAATGGAGGCCAAAGAGTGCTAGTAGGGGAAGAAGAGAGGAGCCTTAAATGAGAGAAAGAAGCAATTAGGTCCAAGAAGCAGATGATGAAGTCTACTGCATGGAGCATTCATTCATTTAACATATACTTATAAAGGACTAAGTATATCCCAGGTACATAAATAAATATATGTGTTTCCTGCCCTGAAGAAGCTTGGTACCTAAAGAAGTACCAAGGAACTAAATAATGGAGTTTTGAGACAAGAACACAGTGGCTGTGTTTTTCTAAATCTTGACGGTATTGGACTAAATTTTAAAAAGTATGGAAAATTATCTTTCAGTTGAAACACTGGTAACTCATTTTGTTTACTGTTCCTTATAATATCATTTTAAAAAAAGATATTTAATAGGTAAATGAAGACTATTGGATAAATAAAGGCTATTCAGTTTTGTTTAAAGTTGTCTGGACTTTTCAAGATCAGGTGGTAATATCATAAGACAGGAGATTATGTGACTGGCAGAAATTTATTTTGATGATTAGGAAAAAATTACAGATTATTCTTAGGTGGTTATCAGTAAATAAGCAATGATATCTGTGACACTTACTTTCTGTAGAATTTGATTTTTAAAAATGGAACTCGGCTATTTCCACTTTACTTTTAGATACTTTGTTGTTTATTAGTAAGCTTTCTCTTATAGTTACTTTGCTTTCTTGACATACTTTCAGTTCTACAGAGTTTGTGGGCAAAGATATTTAAAAAGCAAGTAAATTATCATGATGTTCTACATATTACCTTTGCAAATAATTCCTTGGGCAAGAACTCTAGACTAATAAATGAGAGCATGTGGATCATTTAGAATGGTTTTCTGTTAAGAACCGATTGCCTGGGAATTGAAAAATTCAAAGTGCTTTTTCATGACGTTATTTAAATTCGTTTAAAAAAAAAATCACTTCATTTAGACTTGTTTCTGTGTCTCCTCAATTTGCCCTCCTGAGAAAGAACTGGAGAACGTTGCACTTTGGGAAAAATTTAATTAAGTTAGTTCACAAAGGCACATTAGAAGATAAAAATCCTCAGGCCTGATCCTTTTTGGCATTATAGAAACAGACAGGAGGTAAAGATCTGCAGGCAGCCCTCTGTCTGCAGAGCAGAAGCTCCTCTCTCAGGCTGGCAGGAGCAGGGCATTATAGAAACAGACAGGAGGTAAAGATCTGCAGGCAGCCCTCTGTCTGCAGAGCAGAAGCTCCTCTCTCAAGCTGGCAGGAGCAGGGATGCTGGTGAAGAGAGGCTGAGGTCGAGACCACCATTCATTCTCTTATTTTAATGCAATTTCAACTTGATAATACGTATGAGGTGTGTCAGGAGCATTAATATTTTGAGCCTTTGGCAATCAGATCTGAGGGTTCATTCTGTTCAATTCATAATGTAGATTATATTTTATAATGTTGCCAGGACTTGATTATTTGCACATCCTAGAAGGTATGGCTTTTGCTCTGAACATTTAAAAGAGAACTGCTATAGAACTCTGAACATTAAACAGAGAATTACTATAGGTAAATCTCATAAAAATAAAGAAATGATCCTATAATCATGATTTTAAAATTATATATTTGGATGACTATCACAGCAGCAGATTAATTTGACTATTGTGGCAAGCACCAAAAATGAAGGAGTGACACAGAGAACTATTTGTGCACTTTATAACATTGCAGGTCAGCGTCGTGATAAAACACTTTTATTCAGACCATATAGAAACATATATATCTCTCTCATCTATTTATATCTCTCTCTATGTATTTATATGTAAATACATACACATCCAAATAAGACATGATCACAGAAAATGTCTGTAAACATTTACATTAACTTGTGGACATACATTGATTTTAAACACATCCTTTACTTTAAATAGCTTTGATTTTCTGTCTCAAAGACAAAAGAGAACATTAATAGCTATCACTTACTAAGTTTACCTAGTTGAATGTTAGCACTTCTAAAAACAAGTCAATATTCATTACTTTTCCACATTGGAAGGTTAAAGAAATAAATGATCCTTTGAAACTGAAAATGAAATTCTCTGAAATGTCAAGAAAATATTTTGCTCAGTCTCACTTTAAGGGGAACTGAATAGTGATCATAAAAGCCTTTGACATTAAAGTGAAAGGCTGTTGGTACATAATGTAACCCAATTAATTAGGATCTGCTTAATTTGGAATCTGTAACAGAGTAGATATGAAATGTATTTTGCTGCTTTAAAACTTGTAAAAACCCCATATGTTTAACACAAATATAATAAAAATGAGGAGAGACTAAAATTCATCCCTATAATTAAGCTGTGTGATGGGTGAAGGTCCCGCTTATTTGCATATAGTGTAGCCAACACTGCCAGCAGTAGCACAATGTATCCCAGGAATCTTCTGGGTGTCACTATACAGAAACTTATTTATTAAGCTTTATTCAGCTTGAACCAAAGGAAGATATACCTTTATCAGTAAAGTGAGGTTGAAACATGAATGGAAAAATGGTCACAACTTTTCATGATCCCCAGATAGAAAGCCCTTTCCTTAGTCATTTTTTGGGGTTAAATTCTAAGAACAAGGACTTGTTCAATGATTGCCAGACAAAGGTTAAGTGGAGAAATATAGATTGAATATTGCCATTCTAAGGCACCTTTTAATTTGCTCCTTTACCAAAGCCATCGGAAACTGGATATATGTCAGAATATCGTAGAGAGATTCAAATATCAAAGGGTGCAAAATTAACAAATTTTCTGAATTGAAAAGCACAATACACTACTTTTAGAGACAACGCATAAGACTTGCTCAAGTTAAAAATAACTGGAGAGTTAAGTTCTAAGGTTTTTACAGCCTTACTAATAGTATTTGGCTGCTTCGGTTCTGTAAGATTTTAGCAAGACTATAAAAATACTTAGAACGCTTTTTTGTTGTTTGTGTGCTTCCAGCATAAGTAACTGATAGCTTATGACATCCAGGTTACAGGTCAAATCTGAAGCTTTATTGCACATCCAGGGAAAATTACTTTTTGAATAACACATGGTATAGCCTTCAACTCCTAACAGGGCAGGAGGAGTTCAGATACGAACATTTATACTTTCAAAGTGACCAGATTACACATGATTTCACTTGCTCTGAAATAACTCCATAAATGCAATTTCAAAATTTATTTCTCCATCATACCACAAAAAAACTTAGCAATAAATTCTAACATATTTAGGTGTTTCTAAGAGGAGAAACTATTCTTTTTTTGTTTTGCTATTCAAAAAATTTATTATAGCATCTCTAATATATGGAGAATGTTAGAGAACATATAACACATTTCCTGTGTGTCTCCAATAAAAGAGACATTTCAACTTATTGTACTTTTTCTTTATTCCCTTATAACTGCAGCACAATTAAAAAATAAACTGAGTAAGGTAACTCAATGCAAATTCAATCTGATGTTAGAAGGAAGCTGCATATGAAACTAAATCAGATATAAGAGCTTTTTCTAAAATAGGATTAAGCAGCATTTTGAACCACCTAGAATCAATTCTCATGGGATGCTGTTGTAGAAATGATAGTGAGTTAAGAAAACATTTTTCTCATGGAAAAATCATAAGTCCGAGCTTGTCACTTATGTTATCCAAGATAAGTTTGGTGATTACCCTGTAAATGAACATTGATTTTTCTGTAGACTCCAGTATTTCCAATCTCTGAGAAACTGTTCTGGTGTCCAGGATCACCTATTGCAGGATTATGGCAAATATCTTCTAGTGAAGTGGTTGCTTCTCTGAGAAAACAAAGGAATTGATTCACACATCTGCGTTTTTACCACACTATTTTCTAAGACTAGGTTTAACACAGCAGAGAAAAAACAACAACGAAACACCCACAAACCTCAAAAACCTACATATTTATTATTACTGGTTAACCCACAAGGTGGCACTAAAGAGAAAAGTGACAAAAGTGAAGATCACAGGCAACTTTTGTACTAAATCAATTCTATTAGGAGGATTAAATCTATTTTATGACACAATCATCCGAATTTTAATATGCTAATCTCAAAACATTCATATTAAGGTTTGTTGTGTTTTCCTATGGACTGTTTTGGAGTTAAAAAGTTTCATTTAATCAAGCAGCTGATTATTTTTAAAAGAGTTAATAGTTTGAATATTTCTGTGCAGTAGTTCTTTTGCAGGAAGTTTGTTTTTCTCCCTCAGATGCAGACTCCACAACCATTGTGTTTTAAGTTATGACCATGTATTTTGTGTTTTGTATGGTGCCTAGCACTTAATGTTCTTAATATAAATTTTAAAAATAATCTATTTAACATTATAATATTTACAGAATGATATATTTAGATTTTTTATATTTGTGATAATAGCATATAAATAATTTTTTTAAACTACTAAGAAAAAAGGAATTTGAGCCAAAGTTTGATTGTTTCAATTCCAAGAATAATTCCTGGATTTCCAAATACATATTTTACCTAACTTTCAAGGTCTCTGGAGAGTATTTCCTGGATATGAATGGGGAAATGTTCACAAGAAACCATGTATAAAGGAAGAAAAAATGGTACGATACTGGCATAGCCTTGGTAGAACCCTGAAAGTAAAGAGGCAAGGAAGATGCTAAGTTATGGTACCATGTAGTAGATGGAACTGAATCTTCTCCAGCTAACATTTCTGATTATGAGCAAGAAGGTACAGACTGAAAAAAAGAGGCTATTCTTCGGTTCAAGATTAAGAGATATGCTATTCACGCATAGGCTTGAAACTTGAAGGGAAATATTCTGATTCATCTTTTTTCTTAATTTCAAAGTAGAATTTCAATTAGTTGAAAACTGATGCAATTTTAATTTTTACTATTATTGTGTAACATATAAATAGCTTGTGAAATATTTTCTCACAGAAGATATGTTTCTCACTCAGAAATAACTGTGTCTTTGACTAAAATAATGACTCAGAAAACTACATATTATGTATTTTATACCATAATATTAAAAATAAAGAACACTTTAGATTGAAATCAGCTTTGAAAAACTGAAATATAAGTGTATGACTTCAAGATTAATGATAACTTATTATCTAAAAGAGAAAAACTTAATCATTTCTCCTAATTTCTTTATCAGCCCATTTACAATGATCATTTGCTGCTCAAAGTTAAAGTATTGTTACCTCATTTAAAGAGCTGTAGTGATAAACATGTCAAACACATATCTATGTGTAGTAAAGTTCAGGCTTTACAAGATAAACAATATGCTTTATTATTAAATGGAAGAAGAGTGAATGATTGGAAAAGAAAAAAAATAGATTAAATGATACATATGGAAGAAATAAAGCAGAATATTTTATGTCTTTTTGTGACTTTAGATTTATATATATATGTATGTGATTTTGTAGTGAACTTTTCATGGTTTGACAGAGGTGAGTCACCTGTTTCATTTCATGTAAATTTGAGTTGTCAAATAAGCCTGAGTTAAAACTACATTTTTTTAATGCATTTAAGAGGTTAGATTTCTAAGGCATGTAAACTCCTCATTCTGCAATATGGATATAAGCTATGGTCAACTCTTTCAACTACTTAGTTCTCAATCTAGGATGAATAATACTCTCTTTTTTTTCTTTCTATCATTACTTTATAAAATAATAACTATTATTCTGCTCAAGGTCATACTACATTTTCTCTATTTATTCATTCCATTTAATAAATACATAGCACTCATCATGTGCCAGGCACTTGATCCTCCACTTAGGATGGAGACCACTGCTTCCTGGGTCAGTGCTATACCTCTAGCACTTTGCCTGACATTGACTTCATAATTTACACAGCAAATATCAATTTTGCAACTGGATAGTTTATATCTGGCTTACCTTTCAGGAAGCAGTATGGCATAATGGTTAAATGTACATGTGATGAAGCAACATTGTATAGTTTGGAATTCCAGTTCTGCTACCTATTAATGAAATGGCTTTGGGATACGTATTTCACCCCTCTGAGCCTCGGTTCCCTCATCTGTCAAATGAGGTAAATAACAGCATTGACTTCTTGGGGTTATCTTCATGATTAAATAAGATAAAGTGCTTAGACAAATACCTCATGCAAGGTAAGCCCTTAGAAAATCTTAACTACTACTACTACTATTATTGTTATTATTATTAATTCTTTCTGCCATGTTTATCTAGAAACATGGATTTGAATGATTTAAATTCACGGTAGAAACTATATTGGTATAGTTACTAATTCTATTTTTTGAGCTACTAGACAAATTGACTTGTTCAACAGAAACATCTCTGTAAAGATACTCAATTTCTTTTCTGCTTGTAGAATTCGATGTCTATTATGTTTGCAGATTTCATGAATAAACTATAAATATTTCCAGTAGAACTTTCTTGAGATCCTAATTCTCTCATCTCCAGATGTAACATTTAATGCTAGAATTGAGAATGACACTATGGATATTTGGTTATCTTTTTCCTTATATTTGCCATCTAGAAAGGCCATTATGCTGTAAGACTTGTTCTGTTTTGGTGTAACCATAATTATGACACTTTCCTAAGATTAATGACATGTAGTTATTAATAGGTTAGGAAATGTTTTCTTTTTAAAACAACTTCATAATTTTACTGATTTTTTTTTGTGAGAAAAAAAGACAATCAAATTTAGATATAATTTCCATTCAGATTAATCTTTTTAAATAAATAGAAGTCAGATAATAGCTAAATCAAGGTGTTACTTGTAGTTGGCAAACTGCAAACATGCAATTGCACTGTCCCAATAATAGCTAATTTTAAACAATTCTCCTCTTTCTGTCTTTAAGATCTTGAAGTATGTTCTATCTATAAGGGTGTTTCTTATATGAGGCCTATCAATAATATTGACAGATACAGTAGTCAAATGATATGAAAATTTGAAATTATGCAATATAAAACATTAATAGTCAAAACTATGTGTTTCCCCAGATTAAGAAATTCATCAAATTATCATGATCATGAATTTCAAACTGTTGTTTTATTGCCACATGGCAGCTCTATTTTAGCTGGTAAATAGACTCATACTGCTATTCATATCAGCATTGGCCTCCAGTTGTGTGAGGTCTTCAGGAACATATCCCTCTCATAAAATATATCAGTCCTATTTCACTGCCAGAATAGCAGAGGTTGTGTTCTTTTCCCCCTATACTTTTGCTAATACAATGCATTTTTTATAAAGTCTCTTTATCCATTATACTTTTAGCTTTTAATTCAATTTTTTTTTTTTTTTTTTTTTTTGCTTCTTGATGAAGCAGATTAATGAAAAATCTCTTGAGAGCATAAAGAGACTAGTATATTAGCTTTGGAATTTTGTAGAATTTGAGGACTGGAAGATACTTCTCAAGATACTTCATCTAACTCCTAAACAATACACCAAGAAAATGAGTCTAAGTAAATAGATTAGGGCAATGTAAGGAGGTGAGGGCAGACTGGGACATTGTTCTTTGTCCTGAGCCAAGCTTCTTCTGGATGTGACGTGCTAATCACACTTGAAAGGGCTGAGCATACAAGGACACTTGAGTTGTGCCTCGAAATACAAACTAGTGTATTTCAAGAAAAAGCAGTTCAAGTATGAACAATTAAAGAGTAAAGACTTTGAAGCTAGCTTATTTACTGAAGGTAGTTCATTTTGATTATTTACAGGACCAAGGTGTAGATTTAATTAATAATAACTTCTGTTTAGCCTCATATACATTAAGCAGTCAGATTCTTTTCACTTTTACGAGCCCCTAAATCAGATATGGCCACAAAATGGCTTTAAAGACATTTATTAGCTAAAGAAAATAATCATAAAAGTCTCCCAACAATAAATGTGTTTCTGAGAGAAGAATTGGGATTTTGGAGAGTTTTATTCCACTGCATGGTTCTAGCATTGGCAAAGTCAAAACTATCTCAAATTTTGTGATCTATAACACCGAAGGAGTATGAGTGAGTCATCTCTTTAATATTTTTGTTAGGTATACAATCTGAAATTTTGTCCTACCCTCCCCCCCGCCCCTTTTTTTGGTTTGAGAGTAGAATGGGCAACAAAAGTCACTGGGACCCTTTTGTAACATAGACATGAGAGAAAGAATTATTTATCCACTCGAACTTGATGTTGAGTTTCCTAGGTAAAGTTGCATTTTAGGAGAATCAATGTTTTAAGTTGTGTCCACTCTGTGTTGATAAGCTGTGTCCACTCCACTTGGGTCTTAAAAATAATCCATCCACTAATTTAATCATAGTTAGTAGAGATTTTATAATTGTTAAATATAGTCTTTAATTTCAAAATATTCGATAGCTGCCTTGTAATTATCAAAAGTATATGAACACATTGATTAAACACAAAGAAGAACAGAAAAAGACATCTTTGAATCTTTTCTTGACTAATATCATTTTAGAGAAAGATCTTAAATATTTCTTAGTGAGTAACCTCTTCATTTAGATTGTGATTCTCAGATTTCAAGGTGGGGGAGGGGTTTCCAGATGCCTGTGATAATCCAAATGAGTTAAATCCATGGATTTTTAGATCAATAATCCTGAATTGCCAGATTCATACCCTGAAGTCAGAGAGGTCCAGTTACCCGCTAAGAGTCACACAGCTCTTTTTATCTGCCTATACTATATTTCCTGATTCTGTGAAAACAAGATATGAACCCCAACTCAACTCTTACAATTTATACAGCCAGATACATATGGACAGCAAGAGCACAGAAATTTAAAAACAGAGGAGAAAAAAGTAACTTGAACAGAATGTGGCATTTCCCTTGGTTTGTTGCTAACGGCCCACATACATCTTACAAAAAAAAAAAAAAAACCACACACACACACTGGCACTTCTTTTCATCATCATTTAAAAATGATTCAAATGGACATTTAGAATGTGTGGCATTGGAAATGGGCCCCATCTGGAGATCAATGAAAAGAGCTTTATCCAGCAGGGCTGTGTTTTCAGTGGTTGTCTAGCTAAAGTTGATATGTATTTGGTCTCTTCTCTTTGGTCATGCTTTTAAAGCCAAACACAGTATTTTAACTGTATATTTTCAGGACTCCAAAGCCAGTAGCATAAAACATTCTTTTTTTGTAAGAAAAATAATTATGAATGTGATGTTTAAAATGCCTCTAGTATCTGAGGATGGGAAAGAAACGTAAAAAGGAATTACTTCATTCTTTTTATTTTGCTTTTATTAAAAACTAGAGACTCCCACCTCTTAGCTCTTACCTTTAGGATGGCTATTTTCTGAACATTGTTACAAAAATTAGCATTCTTCACACAAATTCTAAGGATTGGATAGCCCATATACTCATATACACTCTGAACTGTAATTTAAAACTTCTTTAAACTTAGACAAGAGTCCATAACCAGCCAATGGTCTATGAACTGGTTTTGATGTTCCTGCTGTCAGCATCTATTGATAACTGTTCTAAAAAAGTTTAAACAATTTTCACGATATCACTGAAAACTGCAACAAAATAATTGTGGCTAGGTGAAGTGAAAAACTGACCAGTCATGGAATGTATTTGTTCCTTGTTCTAGTAAGTCTAAAGTAATGAGATTCATCTTCCCAGCTTTCCTCAGTCTCAAGTTTTTGGTCCTGAATGTTACACTGTAGGTATTTTATTTTAATTATTTCCCCAATCTAAAAATGAAATTTATTCGATAGGAAAGCATTTCCTTTCTTTAGCCTTTACTTTAGGAGGATTCCAATGCTTCATTGCTAACACTTATTTTAGTACTGCACACCTGGACACAGTGTAATAATATATGTAGTCAGGCTTTGGAGAATTTATTTTAATTTACATACAATCCTCCAAATCCTCTGGCGAGCTTGATGTGAAATCTGACACTGCCGCGTTTCCCCAGCAGGATCTTCCTTTGCTCTTGGTGTTAATAGCCTAAGGCTTCAACGATCCCTCCAGGGAGGCGCGGTGGGGCTAAGAAGTCGGGAAGAGGGGTGACTGCGGGGCTTGTTGCGCTGAAGATTTACAATGTACTTCTTGCAGGAGGCTCAGCAACCCCCTCTGTGGCTGTGGGTGTCTGGTGTGACAGAACGGAGAAAAGCTCTCTAATCTCCCAGTGCCTGCTTCTGCCTCTCAGCCGCTCCCCTCCCCTCCCTTCTTGCCTGCCTCCTCGCGCTCTCTTGCTCTCTCCTTTGCCTTTCTCGGGGAGTTTCAGTCCCTGGATGCTGCCAGAGTAGCCTTGGCAATCTAGACCCGGAGCCAGTGTACACACACACACACACACACACACACACACGCACACACGCGCGCACACATGCACACGCACTCGTACACACGCACTCCGGCTCTCCCCACGGGGATACGGAGCAAACCCGGAGCTTCATCTACCTGAAAGGGATGGCCCGGCCAGACACTTCTTGCTCACTTGTCATCTCCGGAGGTCAGAGCAACGTCCGAACAAGGGAGGCTTTTTGTCCGGTCTGCAACCTCTCGCCGTTTGCCACCACCGCTGCTTAAAGTGTCCAGGGTGGAGGAGAAGGCTTTTCCAGGGCAGATTCCCGGCGCAGCACTGCGGCCCTGGGACTTCACCCAGCTGGCTTACCCGGGTCGCCTCCTCCCCGGCCATTCTCTCTTCCCCGACTGCGGGGTGCATGGCTCGGGCGCCTCCTCTGCTGCCGCCGCCGCTGCTGCCGCGACCACATCCCACCCAGAGGACTGAACGCCGCCGCTGGAGTAGGGACAGAAAGCGGAAGCCTTAACTTCTCTCTCCAACACTCCCTGTCCTTTCCAGCAGAGGACCGGCTGGAAGGCTCCCGGGGAAAGCCAGGCGAAAGCTCTGCGCAGGGGAGGGCGACCCGGGAGCCGCAGGCGCACAGGGGCGGGGGCAGCATGTGCCCCGGCGCCCGGCGCCCGCAGAAGTAGCGCGCGTTGGGGTGAGCGAGACGCTTTCCAAGTTGGGCGCGTCCCAGAGCTCGCAGCCCGGCGCCTGGGCCGCCGGTGTCAGAAGAGAGGCGGGGCCTGATGGGGGTCGCCGAGGTCGCTATCGCCTGCGGCTACTGCCCGTCTTAAAAGCATCCAGATCAGCGTCCCCAGGGTCCCAGCTGGCGTCGAGCCCTCAGCCCGCGTGCGCTCTCTGATGCCCGTGCCGGCGGAGGCCCGGGTGGCCCGCCCGCGGGGGGTGCCGGAGGGGGCGGGGGAGGAGGAGGAGGCAGTGTGATGGCCCTGGACGGCGAGCGGGGGGAACAGGAGGAGGAGAAGAAAAAGAAGAAGAAGAAAAAGAAGAGGAAGAAGAAGAAGGAGGAGGAGGGGGCTGAGAAGAGCAGCTTACCTTTCGCCGCCACGATGGGGGAGAACGACGCTGCGCTCCGGGCCGGCGGCAGGGGGCTCTCGGACCCGTGGGCGGACTCCGTGGGGGTGCGACCCCGCACCACCGAGCGCCACATCACGGTGCACAAACGGCTCGTACTGGCCTTCGCCGTGTCCATCGTGGCACTGCTCGCTGTCACCATGCTCGCAGTACTGCTCAGCTTGCGCTTCGACGAGTGTGGGGCGAGCTCAGCGCCCGGCGCCGACGGCAGCCCCGCCGGCTTCCCACCGCGCGGTGGCAACGGGAGCCTTCCGGGTTCGGCCTGGCGCAACCACCACGCCGGCGGGGACTCAGCGCAGCCTGAGGCAGGTGCGGAGGCCACCCCTGGGACCCCGTCGGCCCAGCCGTCGGAGGAGCAGCAGGAGCAGTGGCAGCCGTGGACGCAGCTGCGCCTGTCCGGCCACCTCAAGCCGCTACACTACAATCTGATGCTCACCGCCTTCATGGAGAACTTCACCTTCTCCGGGGAGGTCAACGTGGAGATCGCGTGCCTGAACGCCACCCGCTATGTCGTGCTACACGCCTCCCGGGTGGCGGTCGAGAAGGTGCAGGTGGCCGAGGACCGGGTGGCGGGGGCTGTCCCGGTGGCTGGCTTTTTCCTCTACCCGCAAACCCAGGTCTTGGTGGTGGTGCTGAATAGGACCCTGGACGCGCAGAGGAATTACAACGTGAAGATTATCTACAATGCCCTGATCGAGAACGAGCTCTTGGGCTTCTTCCGCAGCTCCTATGTGCTCCACGGGGAGAGAAGGTAGGGAGGGAGGCGGTGCCGAGTACTGTCCCACCCCGCAGAATGCTGTAAACGCTGGGCAGCCGGCAACCCCGGGGACCCCGCCAGTTTCCAAGACCCGGGAAGCGAGGGGCGGGAGAAGGAAACAAAGTAGGTAGGACCACCATCTAGAACCCTCAGGGTCTCCCGGATGCCTGGGCTCTCACTGCTGCCAACTCCGCAAACTCACCAGTGGTGAGAGATGAATGCCACCCCTTCCTCTAGTATGGATCCCTCCCCCCATCCCCATTTCGTCAAAGTTTCTTAGCCAGTGGGGCGCACAGCTCATTTTTAAAGGGTAACTTCGAAAGCCTGCCAAGTTACCGTCGAGGTAAAATACGTGAGCGTCAAAAAGCCAAAAAGCCAGGGCATCCCCGAGAGATGTCAGCGCTGGATATCTCGCAAATGCAGATTTGTCAGCGCAGGCAAATTCCCCTCCCTACCTACACCGTTACATCCCAACGTGCCCACCTCGCCTATTATCTGCCAGGCATATAGCAGAGGATGGGCTTTAGCTACATAAAGTTTTATGAAACTGAAAATTGAGATTTGGGGTAGAAAGAGCTGGTCCCAGTAACAGAATAAGGGGGTGGGAGCTGCGGGTGGCAGCTGCCATGGTCAAAGACAGCGAGAAATGTCCTTGCAGGTGCTGTCAGCTCTCTCTTAACGCGGAATGACTCCAGTTGTTTGTTCGAGAGTTACTGCCTTTGAAAATGACTTCAGTGGTGAAAGGAGGGAAAGCTAGCGATCATTCTCAAATGCCTCAGTAGCGAGTGCCTTGATGCTTTTAAGATTTGGGCTGTATTCTATATTCTTTGTTTTTAAATGTGTGTGTGTGTGTGTGTGTGTGTGTGTGTGTGTGTGTGTGTGTGTGTGTGTGAGGTTGTTGGTCTTTTATCACCTGTTTAGAGCTCAGACTTCAGAGTCCAACAGAACTGTGTTCTAATTCCAGCTGCACCTTTATCTCTGGTGAAGGCTTGAGCAAGTTGATTAATCTGTCAGCAATTCCTGACAATGGCTACCCCTAGTACTTATTAAGCACCAAATATTAACTCAGTCTTACAGGAACCCTATGGGGTAGGTCCTATCAACACTCCCTATTTAACAGATGGGAAAATGGAGGCAGAAGTCAAGTAACTTGTCACATAGTTAGCCCACAAAGTGGGAATTTAGACCCAGGCAGTTTGGCTCCAGAGCCCATATTTTTAGTTCTAATTTGGAGATGATAATAATGATGCTGTCCTCGTAGGATTGTTGCAGGTGTCTGTGAGCCAATGCATTGAAAATCACTTAACCCTCTACCTGGCATTCAGCATGTCCACCAAAAATGTTAGCTATTATGAGTTTCTGTTGGTAGTAAGCACTCAAGCATATTTTGAATGAAGAAACAAGTGATACCTGCTTTTTGCCCTAACTTCATTTAAAATAATTTCGATTAATTAAATGACTATAGGGCTAGTGAACAACCAACAGTGAACTTAAAAAATGAAATTGACAACCTCAGAAGTAGGAGCAACTTAGAAATTAGTAATGATACCACTGAGAACAATTCTGTTCTCAGTTCATTCTCACAACTGCAGAAAACTGGGACTCTGAGCAGCCCAGAGCAGAGATCAGCAGGCTTGTGTTGGAGAGCTGGGACTTAAACTTTGGTTTTCTGATCCCTGGACCAGGGCTCATGTCTGGAAACTCTCAGTAGTTGTTATTGTACGAGAAGCTGGGGAAATTTTGGTGTGTTATAGGAAAACACAAATGTTTTATTATTTATAGAGTGCTATGAAGTAATCTCATATAAATAAATTGCCCAGTGCGTTAGTAGTCCTATTATAGTTAAAATCTCCTATAAGTGAATGCATAAATTATTCATTCTCCAAAGATCAGATGTGGACAATTTAAACACCTTTCCACTACTTCCTCCAACATATTCTAAAGATTAAAAGTATTTTTAAAACCATATCAAATATGGGGGAAAAGGCATAGAAGGCAAATTTGCATGTTATGTTTAGAAACAAGCTTGTTATATCAAAATGTCAATAGTGGGAGCTGCATTTCATTACTGATAAATCTGTGGTGAAATAAATACTTTCAACAAATCCTGTTTTCTGAGCCACGCCAAAATATATTTGGTAGACTTGAGCTTGTTTTGGTTAGTGCTTTCAAATTAACAAGTCTCTTAAAAAGACCAGATGTTTCTGCTTGACCCATAACTGATTTCTTGTACCCCTAGTGTATATTTGTATTCAAACTCTCTCCTTCAGTTTTCTCCAAAGATGTAAATAACTTGGCTGAAAATTTAACCTAATGTATATGTTGCTAAGCTCTGCATCTCAGTAGAAGTGCAAGATTCTGTATTTCTAGAGATCTCAGGTTGGTTTTATTTCTAAGCAGTATCTTAGAGAAAGTCTTGTTCCTCTCTCCCCATCCCCTTGAATACCAGAGTGAATATGATAATTTCTTGGATGTTTCTATACTGAAGTTCTTAAAGCAAAGGAAATCAAATAAACTATTTTACAATTATGTCATTATATATATTAACCTTTTTTTCCCTTTTGTTTGCTGTTATTACTATAGCTACTTGGAGCGTTTTTTAACATGCTAATATCAGGAACTCAATCAGGATTGGACTTTTATTGGTGATGATTTTGTCCCCAAAATGCAATGTAAATCAGCATTTTAAAACACACTTCCAGAAGAACACAGATGCAAACTCTGAATTTTCATTTGATTAATGATTATTTTCGTCTTTAGTCATTCATAAGTTTTGCCAATTTAATTATCAGATAATTTCTGTAATAAAAATAAATATTTAATCTGCCAATGGGGAGTCACATTGAGCAACTTGAAATATTTACAAGAGTAATACCACAATTCGGTCCATTTACTTAGTCTATGTGGAAATAACTCATTAATATCCAATTCTCTGATTTACTCCTTAGAGGTCTGAGAGAAAGTTTGGGTGAGGGCAGGAAAATTTCACCATGTGCTGTGCACCGTTGAGACCTGGAAGAGTTCAGCCTCCACCTGGTGTTGGAGGGAGTCTGGTTTTGTCCTACAGGAAACACTTACCTTTCCTGGTTCCTAGACTATAGCGGAGAAGGGGTAGAAGACAAGCTCCCCACTAAAGCCCACATTTCTTCTACTTAAGGCAAATCCTTTACTTTCAGTTGCTTTTTTGGCTAAAGGGAAAATTCATCACTTGTTGAATATGGCAAATAAATAAATTCTCTTAAATTTGAAATGTTTACCCACAGCAGTAAAATTATCTTCATTAGGCAGAACACATATTCATCTCTTCCTCAAGTAGGTGTGTAGCAGGCAGATAAAAAGGGGGTAGATTTATACCATAGTATTCTATAGTAGAATATACTTGCTTAGAATTAGGTAAAATGCTCATTTACCTGAAGTAATTGCCACTTTAGGGAAGCCAGATGGCGAGCATACCCGTGTTCAAAGTAGGGTACCTTAATTTAGATCCAGATGGTCAGATTGAAAGAGGAAATTTACCCACAGTAAATGAACGTTTTATTCACTTTCAAAAGGGAGACTGTTTTTCTTTGGCAAACTTTGATTGGGTCTATAACATGCCACAGTGCCAGAAGACAGAATAAAAATAGGAGGTCTTTTTCTATCTAGGATTATTTAGAGGGAAACCATGATCTCCAAATAAAATGGGGAAATAAAACTGTGGTTCTCAAAAAGAATTGCAAAACTCTTTTGCAGAAATCTTGTGGAGAATATAGAGGATTTTATGGGTAGGCATTTGATCTTTTGTGATATTAGTGTACATGGTTTAATATCTTGTATTTTTGCTGGAATGAATTAATAATCATGATATTTAATAAAAGCAAGAAAATCACACCATTGGTTTTATGTTAAAAGAAACCTCATTTCTTCCATTTATTCTGGTGGGGTAATATATTTAGCATATATATATATCTTTTAGTGTATATAGCTTTTTGCCCCTCTATAGAAGGTTCTGAACTGAAAAATCTGTGAGGATCATTTATTACTGTGAAAACTTTTTAATGTAATTCCTTAATGGATTTAGAAATTGTTTTCCTGTCAGACACACATAAGCATATGGCCAAACTGACTCCAGTGCTGCTAGATTTTGGTTACAATTCAAAATGCCACCGGTAAACTAAATCTAGAAAATATGTATTTTAAAAAATGCTTTGACCATTTAATGACTCGTTCAGGGAGGAAAGTACATGCAATTGGTGTTTGTCTTGCCATGTTTTTTCCATGATGCCATCTGATTTGATCACCCTGGGTAGTAATAAAGTATACTCTTTCTCTAAAAGAGTTAAATTAGTTTGCCCATGTTTTTATTTATTCAAAACAACTCTAAACAGGGTCTGTCTGCTCTGGATCTCGTTCAAGCAAAGATGTGACTGCTTTCTTGGTATTCATTTAGTTTGCACAGCGAACTAAATTGGTTTCCTCAAACCAATTTTTGTCACCATGTATGTTGGTGGGCTTGAGACAACAGTGTAAGGCAACAGTTTAAATTTGCTAGATGACGGTGACATTTGGTGGATATGTTTACAAGAATAAGACTTCTTTAAGTATGACTTTAAAGAATGAGATAAGAAGAGTGAGGAAGAAATGATCTTTAATGCATAAATGTTTTACAGTCTGTCAGGAAGAGTGTCCCTCCATTACCCTGTGTTCATCCTCCTATCCACCAGCAATGATGATCATCACCATCGTTATCATCATTGTTCCTTTAATTCTTTTCATGTCCTTTACATCCTGCCAGATTTGTAATAGCGGCTGGGTTCCTCCAGAGTTTTCAAAGTCCCTTGCAATTCTGCTTTTTGCCACTAGAGAGTGGATGCTCTCTCCAACAGATAGCATCTTACTACATAGAATTTGGGAGACTATAAAAATGAAAAATACTCTCTGCTTTTCTCAGTTTCCTGGGTAATCTGAAATGATTCACAGACAGAGCTAGGTGGTGGTGGTGGGGCTGTAAGGGG